GTGTATATTGACAAAATAAAAAAAAAAAAAAAAAAAAAAAAATTTTCTTCTGTGAAAAAAAAAAAAAAAAAAAAAAAAAAAAGCTTCTGTGCAGCAAAGGAAACAATCAACAGAATGAAAAAACAACCTACAGAATGGGAGAAAATATTCACAGGCTATGTGTCTGACAAGGGATTAATATCCAGAATAAACAAACAGCTCAAACAACTTTACAGTACAAAAAACAAATAATCCAATTAAAAGTGGGCAAAGAAGCTGAACAGACATTTCTCAAAGGAAGGCATACAAATGATGAAAAGATATATGAAAAAATGCTCAGCATCACTAATTATCAGGGAAATGCAAATCAAAACCACACTGAGATATCACCTCACCCCAGTCAGAGTGGCTATTACAAAGACAGAGAATTACAAATGCTGACAAGGATATGGAGAAAGAGGAACCCTTCTGCACTGTTGGTAGGACTGTAAACTAGTACAGCCATTACAAAGAACAGTATGGAGGTTCCTCAAACAATTACAGATAAAATTACCATATGATCCAGGAATCCCACTACTGGGGATATATCCAGAGAATTGGAAATCATCATGTCAAAGGGATACCTGCACTCCCATGTTTATTGCAGTTCTGTTTTCAATAGCCAGGTGATGGAACCAAACTGAATGTCCATTGAAGGATGATTGGATAAGGAAATTGTTGTATATATACACAGTAGAATACTACTCAGCCATAGAAAAGAATGAAATTCTGCCTTTTGCAGCAATATGGATGAGCCTGGAGAAAATTATCCTAAGTGAAATAACCCAGGGATAGAAAGAGGAATACTGTATATTCTCACTCATAAACAGGAGCTGAATCTATAAATAAACAAACAATAAAGAGAGATAGAGAGAGAGAAAGAAAGAAACAACAATTACAGTAAGACGTTGAACTTTTAGAAAGAAAGAAAAGAACCATCGTTACTAGAGGTAGAAAAGGGGAGGGGAGGAGGAGAGGCAAGGAGGCTAATAAGGAATTGGTTAAAGGACACAAAGAATGATTGCGTGTTGTAATGATGAATAACCAACACACATTATAAACAACTACTGAAAATCAACTTTGTACCCCACATGTATGTATAATAAATTATCTTTAAAAAATAAAATAAAATAAAATAAATAAAATTGAATATTCTGATGGTTACACATATCTGTGAATATACTTAAAACCATTAAATTGTATACTTTAGTGGGTAAATTATACCTCACTAAAGCTGTTTTAAAAAATAAACCTTGGACACTGAGAATCTTATAAGCATCCCTAGTAGACAACATTTTGTACATGCTGTCACAACTTGTTGATGGATAAATTAAGCAAATCTGTGTGACTCCACTGGGGTAGGACTCTTGCACCTAGTTTCTGGTAGACTTCACTCCATGTACCTTTTCTCTTTGCTGATTTTTCTTTGTAGTGAATCACAGCCTTGAGTACTACTGTATGCTGAGTCAAGTAAGTCCTCCTAGAGAATTAATGTACCTGGATATTGTCTTGAGGACCTGTGACACTACAAGTTCTGACTTAAGTTTTTCCAAATATTGACAGAGAATATGATAACATCCTTATGCAATTTCTACTGAATATACTCACCTTTGTTATCTATTTGTTGCATAGAGTGTTGTTCTTCAGTTTGCCTTCCCTGGCCAAGAAGAGAAGTCTGGAATATGGGCCTCCAAAAACCTGGAAACATATCAAATAGACTCAATTATTTTCCAACTTCTAATAAAATAAAAATATAGAAAGGAAGAATGTATAATAAATGATTCTGCAGTGAAAAAAAGTTTCTTATTATACTATTTTTCGTCATATATATTTACTAGTAATGGTGATCCTGTTCTTAATTTTCATGTTTATTAAAGCAATATTGAAAGCTAATTTTAAGATGTTCCACCATATATTGGTAATTTATGTGCCCCATATCAAAATTAAGCAGATGGTCAGTTAACTCTAAAAATATTCATAGCAAGTTCTTGTCCTACTAAATAAAATATTAGGTTATAAAATTGTCTAACAAGCACCCATTAGGATGGCTACTATCAAAAAACAAAAAATAACAAGTGTTAGCAAGGATGTGAGGAAATTGGAACCCTTGTAGACTTGTAGTGGAAATGTAAAATGGTGCAGACACTATAAAAAACAGTATGGTAGTTTCTCAAAAACTTAATGATCAAGTTAATATATGATCAAGCAATTCTACTTTCAGGGTATATCCAACAGAATTGAAAGTTTGGCCTGGGAGATATTTGTACACCCATTTTCATAGTAGCACTACTGACAATAGCCAAAAGGTGAAAGCAAACCAAGTGTCCATTGACATATGAATAGATAAACAAAATGTGGTATATACCTACTATAAAATATTATTCAGCCTTAAAAAGGAAGAAAATTCTGACACATGCTAAAACATGGATGAATGTAAAAGATGTTATGCTAAGTGAAATAAGCCAGTCACAAAAAGACAAATACTGTGTGCTTCTACTTATATGAAGTACTTAGAATAGTCACATTTATATACACAGATAGTAGAATGGTGCTTGCCAGGGACTGGAAGGAGAGGGGGTGTGTTGGGAAAACAGAATAGTTGGTAAGCCTCCCTTGCCTCGGGGTGGGTTGGGGGTGGTACAGCGCATTCTTGGTAAGCAAACTGTGTGTGGTGGGTGAAGTTAGTGTGTCTGTGTGGTGCCGCGAGTTGGCTGGCTTCTGCCTCAGGCAGCCGCCGTGCACATAACCATGCCTTTCCAACCTGCAGCTTCCAAGGACCTGTTTGCTGGTTACCTAGATCAATAGACCTGCGTGTGAAGGGGGTCTGGTGACCCAGCCTGGCATGTGAAGGGTTTGTGACCCAGTCTCTGAATGGGCTTAAAGGGTCTGTTAGCTCCAGACCCAGCCCTAGCTTTACAATTGGAGTCAGTGCAGGATTACGGGCAGGTAAAAGAGCTTTACAATTGGCGTCATGAACAGGATTAAGAGTGCTACAATTGGCGTAGTCTGTGACAGGATCCTGACAAGGTACAGGAGGCAAAAGCCCTTGGAAGAAGGAGGAAATGTGGCTGTCCTTGAGCATGTGGTGCCTGGTGGTCACTTTTCTGCTGACCAGAGTCTGGCTGCTGCTCACTACACTGCAAACTGATTGAAATTTGCAGCAGAAAGCAGAGATGTTGGAAGCACAGATAAATGTCCTGGAGGATGACGTGCAGCAACTGGCCACTCCTGCCTCTCACACCAGGGAAGACGACCAACCTAGTAGTGAGTTGAGGAAAACTGTGTGTCTCCCAGCATGACCTGTTGTGCACGAGAAATTGAGACAGTAAAGCAGCAGAAACAGGGAGAGCCCCTGGCTGCTACAGCTATGGGACCTAAGGGTGGATGGTGTAACGTGCTTTAGGGACAATGTAGTAAACGCATGTTGCATTTGTCTGAAGGCAGAAGGCTCGGAGGGTGCCACTTAAACCTGATGGCCAGCCGGGTGCCATGTAAACCTGAGAAAAGAGTGCCACATGCAGAAGGGCAGATGACCTGAGGATGGGTGCCCCTGCAGAATTTCAAGTATGTTTTCACCTAGTGAAAAGGTGGAAAAGTTAGTCTCCATTACTACCTGTCTCTTATAGGAGAGCTGCAGCTATGCATAGGGGCAGGGCAGCCACTCCTTGATGGACTGGAAAAATGTAGCTGTTTGAACTGTGGGCGAATGCTGCAAAACTGCCTGAGACTGAGTGAGCAGCCGGTGAAAGCTGAGATGATTGAAGTAATTCAAAAGCCAGAATGTAAAAGGGAAGCAGAGCATAAAGATTTGGAAAATCTGCAGCCTGGCCATGTGGTAGAGAAGCAGGGAGCAAGAGAAAAATGCAAGGGTGAACAGATAAACTGTTTGTTAAAGATATTATCTTGGCAGTGAGGCAGCCAGATGCTAAAAACCAGGACAATGGGGAAAATGCCCTAAAGGCATTTGAGAAGTCTGGAAGGGTGCCCCACCCATCACAGGCCCTGAAGGCATTTGAGAAGTTTGGGAGAGTGCCCCTCCCATCCTAGAAGGATTGAGTTGTCCGGGAAGACAGACAGGGAGTGCAGCTGCCCTTGGAAAACTGCTCCCTGCATCCCAGCCACTCCAGGCTGGAGCAATCCTGCCTCAGCACCTCTGAAGAAAAAAAGCCGAAAACCTTGGTGGCATTCATGTTGTGTTAAGTTTGCAGGCCAGCAGTATGTGAGAGCAATGGAGGTGTGGCAGTTTCCACCCAGATTTTGGAAGATGTATGAAAAAGTGGGGGGACTCAGGCAGAGACCTACTGCAGGGGTGGAGCCACTGCAGAGGTCATTTACGGAGCAATGTGGAGCAGAAAAGTGGGGTTAGAGCCCCTACAGAGAACCTCCTCTGAGGAAATGTCTAGTGGATCCAGGACGGTGGGACTGCCACAAGGAGCCCAGAACTGTGGGGCTGCTGGCAATGTGCAGCGCCAGTCTGGAAAAGCCGCAGGCATGAGGCAGCTCAATGGGCTGCACTTGATGAGCTGTAGGAGCGAGGCTGCACAACGCTTTAGGGGTCCAGGTGCCCCAGTGTGCTTAACGTTTGCCCTGTTTGGGTTTTGGATTTATTTGGGGCCTGTTTTTCCTTTCTATTCCTCCCTTCTGGAACGGGAATGTGTACCCAATGTCTGTCCCACTGTATCTTGGAAGTAGATAAACTTGTTTTTGACTTTTACAGGTTCACAGCTGGAAGGACTTTTGCTTTTGGTCTCAGAGGAGGAGACTTTGGACTTTTGAGTTGGTGCTGCAATAAGCTAAAGAATTTGGGGACTGGGATGGAATGTGTAATATGTAAATGTAAGGGTCATCTATCCTCGCTAAGGGAACATCGTGGAAGATTCTGAACACGTAGATTGTACAGCAAGGGACCCTGAAGGGGTGTATTGTTGGGAAAATAGAATAGGTTGGTCAGGTTCCCTCAGCTCGGGGCAGGTTGGGGGTGGTGCAGTGCATTCTTGGTAAGCAAATTGTGTATGTGTGGGTGGAGTTGGTGTGCCTGCACAGCACTGCAAGTTGGCTGGCTTCTGCCTTGGGCAGACGCCATGCTCACAGCCATGCTTTTCCAACTTGTGGCTTCCAAGGACCTGTTTGCTGGTTACCTAGCTCAATAGACCTGCATGTGAAGGGGTCTGGTGACCCAGCCTGGTGTGTGTGGGGTCTGGTGATCCAGCCTGGCATGTGATGAGTTTGTGACCTATTCTGGACAATGTGCTTGAAGGGTCTGTGAGCTCCAGACCCAGCCCTAGCTTTACAATTGGAGTCGGTGCAGGATTACGGGCAGGTAAAATAGCTCTACAGGGTGTAATGGGGAGTTTTTTAGAGGATATAGAATTTTAATTTTGCAAGATAAAAAGAGTTCTGGAGGTTGGTTGCACATGTGAATGAACTTAATGCCTTTGAACTATTGCACAATGTGAATGTACTTAATACCTGTGAACTATACATTTAAAAATGGTTAAGATATTAAATTTTATGTTATGTATTTTTTGCCACAATTTAAAAAGTTGGTAACAATATGCTATGGTAGAGAATGGGTGTGAGAGGTTATAGATATCTGTTGATGTCAGACAGAATGCAGATTGCAATTCAAAGATCCCAAAATGACAGTACTTGGTGTAAAATATGTGGTGCAACATATATTCTAAGTATCATTATGGTTGATGAATATAAGTACAGAATTTTAACAAATAAGTTAATATTATCAATAAGCTCTGGACTATTCTCAGGAAAGGTATTTTGTACAAAAGATAAAATAAAAATTAAGGTGTTTTGCAACCAACTTCATTTATTTAAAAAAAACCCCTATTACTATTTATTGTAAATAGTCACAGGAGCAAAGAGACTTAATTCTGGGCCTTGGAGAGACAGTAAGGCTGTTTTCCTCACACCTCTTTACTATTAGAGAGCATAGAGAAGAGACAGACATGGTGAAGCTGATTTTAAGAAGTGCATATTGCTCATTTAGGAGTGAACATAAGATTAGTAGCACAAAAAACAGTTTCCTTTTTATTTTGTCTTTGTTATACATATGTCTTCTTACTTATTAATGAAAAGGAAAATATCAGCCAAGATACATTAAAAAATAAGCAAACAGCATCAACAGACATTTTGTCAAAGAAGACATACAGGTGGCAAACAAAGGGCACTTTCTTATGCCCACAGACATATTTTATTTCTAGGATTTTTAAAATCACATTTACCCAATATATTCTCAATATGCAACAGCTAAAGATGAGTGAGGACAGCTAGAAAAACTGTTTTTATGTTTATATATGCTTCTACTTGTGGATTGACCATATAACAATCCATGCTTTATATTAATAATAATCCAAAAATTGAATAATTCTCATCCAATTGCAAGTATTTAAAATGTAAGTAGACTTAGAGAAAGCATAGTTAATTGACTAGTTTCATGTGGAATATTATTTTCTCTATTAGGTTTTAAACTTCATGAAGTCACAGATGTAGCTGAGATAACGCTAGCCTAGCAGTTCCTACACACTACTAGCATGGTCACTAATTATTTCATGTCACATTGAGTGAAGAGGTCTGCTTGAGCTTCACTTTCCTCATATTTTAAGCAGGCTCAATAATACTATAGTATCATTGCTCTTTCTAACTTAGAAGATCATGCTGACATATAATTATGCTTGATTAAGAACTTAGGCTCTGGAATCAGATAAACCTGGGTTCAAAGTTCAGGACAAGTCACTTGAACTTTTTTCACCTCATTGTTCTCACTATAAAATGGGTATAGTATATACCTCTTAAAGGTGAAAAATAGTGTGTCTTCATGGTTAAAGCACAAACTCTAGATAGAGCATGAGTTCACATCCTGACTCTATCATTTAACTTTGGTTAATTACATAGCTTCTTTGTGCCTCAGTTTCTGCATTGCTAAAATAAAGATGATAATTTTGCCTACCTCCTAGATTGTGAGGTTTTAATGCATTAGTACATGTAAAACTGGTGCATTAGTATTAATAAATTAGCACTAGTGAATTAGTATATGTAAAACTCTTAGAAAAATTCCTGGTATGCTACATAAAGCTTAGCTATTATCTGTAAAGGGGGATAACAATAATGAATGGGGATTAGATATAATAATGCATGTGATTTGTGTAGCATAGTGCTTGACACAGTATACACATTCAATCAATATTAGCTGCTATTTTTTACATAATGAACTTTGAAATGCTGAAAGGTGCTATTTAATTTAAGGTATTATACTTTTGTGTATTTAATATAACATATGCTGAGCACATAGTAGGCATTCAATCGACAAAATTTTAAAAGCATATCAGTAACAATGCAGTTTAGTGCCATGAGTCTTTGTAGTCCTAAACAGTAGTTATCCCATTTCACTAAATTGTATCAAATGGTGTTTGAATATATTAATACTGGAGCTGGATGAGAAATTTAAATCTTAATACCCTCTGTGCTAATTAATGCAACTCTTAAGGGATTGCTAATATTACCTCATTAGAACAGAATGATAATGGATTAGGGGTAATTAATTTAGTGTTACTAAGATCGAATCCAATAAAAACATTGTTTTAAGATATTTTCCCTCTCCTCATAAAAGGTAACAGACCTTTATCAATATCCCACCAATAAACTTCTTTATAAGAAGATCTCAGAGATTAATTTCTCACATTACTTAATCCTTTCCAATAGAATTGAATTTCTAACTTGAGTTCAGAGAGTTTTTCTCAGGAATTATAAAATATCAGATGAATATTTTCCTCTGACTGTTCAAGTAAAATATCTCACAGTTAGTCTAGCTGAATTAATGGCTTGAGGATAAATATACCTGACAACCAGTGTGACCTCTGGATAACATTTTGTATCAGTAAATGCCCAAGAATACATAGTATACTGAATTTTTATTGATTTCAGTAGCTCACCATACTTAAAGCATATTACCTCATGGATAAGTCAGTATTATTTAGAACAAATTTCAAGGCTCATTATGTGGACATAGGATATTAAAGTAGAAACACACTGATCATACATTAAATGTGTATTATTTTAAATACCTTGTTTTTGAAATAAGTCACAAGGGTTTATTGAGACATAGAATTTATGAGTATTATTATAATTTCAAAGAGCAGTTTTCTTAGAAATGTTTTCGGACAAGTTCTTTGTTTTCTTTTGGTGCTTTTAGTCGTAACTAAAGATCTCTGTGCAAAATGACTAAGATGAAGAAAAAAACTATCTATGAGATGGTAATAGTTCCTTTATCACAATAAGCATACCTTAATAAAATGGCTTAGGAAATGGAGAATTATGACTTAGTGTGATAAAATAAACATGACTGATGAAGTAAATGCCAACTATTTATTAAAAATTATAGAGCTTTGATAATAACTACTTAGGAGAAGCAAAATAATTTGAATCTTTATATAGTTAGGTTTATATATTTACCTCTTTCCACAATAACTAATAATAAAGAAAAGCTTATGAGCAATTTCTATTCACCCATTCCAGAATGATGGAAGCTAAATTCAGTATGGTATTACTTGGACCAGAATAACCATCTTTGCTAAGAATTCTTTAATTTTCTTCCCTTTAAGATAAGAAGATAAATGTTAACTAAAGCAAGACGATTTGCCTAATTTTTAAAAGTGAATTAGAAATCTGAGGTTAAGATACCTATCCTCTGAATTTCTGATAAAATGATCTCAGGCCCAAATCTATTAAAGCTACTGCCGTTTGGAAGAGTCATAATGCTATTAATTAAACTTGTGAAACAAGCTGCTTTCAAAGGCCATATGCATTTAAGCTTACCTAGAGGACGATTATCCTTTTTGCGAGCACCAAGCCGTTGTGCTTCATTTTCTGAGTCAAGGTGGTGTCTTTCACTGTCACATTCAATCCTGTGCTCTTTTTCATTGTCAGACTCTTTGAGATGTCCTCCCCTCTCTTCATCCATTTGAAGTCTCTTATTTTCAAATTGTATCAGACACTGTTCCCTCTCTTTCTCCATTAGGTGTCTTTCACTTTCAAACTCATTTTGATGCCTTTCCTTTTCAGAATTTGTTTGATGTTTTCTAGAAGCAGAGTCTATTTGATGTCTTTCAAAGTTATCCCAATGTTTTTGAAGGTCATCCTGACATCTTCCAGAGCTATCCTGAAGTCCTATAGACCTATGCTTATATTTTCTAGAACTATCCCAGTATCTATCATAGACAAAGTTCAACTCTTCTCTTTCAGAGTCCATGAGACATCTTTCAGATTTAGACCCAAGGCCTATACAGAAACTCTCCAAGTTAGAGGCCTTTTGGTACTTTTCAGTCTTCATCATGTGTTTCACAGAATCAGAGGCCATCCCTAGGCATTCAGAGTCTAAGTCTATTGTACGTCTTTCAGACCAAGAATCCATCCAGAGCCCCTCAGTGTCAGCGCTCAACTGGAATGTTTTAAGATCCATGAGACATTTCACATTTGCTGAGGCTAGTCCATATCTTTCTGAGTCTGAGTCCATCCCACATGGTCCAGAGTCAGAGTCTATCATATATTTCTCAGAACTAGTCTTCTCCTGGTGTTTTTCTTTCAGATATACTGCAGGTGCGGAAGCAGAGTCCATTCTACCACTTTCTTTGTCTGAGTTCAACACATACTTCTCAGAACCAGAGACCTTCCAAAGTTTTTCCATCTCCATCAAACTTTTTTCAGATTCAATTAGGCGTTTTATAGAATCTGAGGCCATTTGGCGTTTTTCTGCCTTCAGCAGGTGTTTCACAGATGCAGAGGCCATGGGGCATTTTTCTGAGTCTGAGTCTACCCCTGATTTTTCATTGTCAGAGACCATTTGATATTCTGCAGAGTCAGAATCTACCAAGTCTTTTTCTGAACCTGAGTCCATCCAGTCTTTCAGAGAGTCAGAGTCCACCTGGCTCTGTTCAACTCCTACCAGGTGTTGCTTTGACTCCATCGGGTCTTCTGCAGAGCCTGAAATCATCTGATAGTTTTCTGCTTCTAGCAGATGTTTCACTGAGTCTGAGTCACTGGGACATTTTTCTGAGTCTGAGTCCATTCCCCATATTACTGAGTCAGAATCTTTTGAATGTTCTAAGTCAGAATCCAAACTAATGCCTCTATCAGAGTCAGAATCAATCACACATCTTTCAGAGCCAGAGTCCATAAGGGGGGTGTCACTTTCAACTATTGTTAGGCATTGGAGACTTTTAGAGTCCAAAGAACCAGCTGGAGTTTCAGAACCTTTTGTATCAGAAATTTCTGTTTCAGATTCGTTTCCTTCATCATGTCGCATCATAACTGCTCCTTCACTACTTAAAGAAAAGATAAACATGAATAATTGTTTAAATATTCACAAAATGTTAGCAAACACATTATTTCCCTGTTGAAAACCCCTTTGTAGGAAAATATAGAATACATATTTCTATTTGTCATGATGTAGAAAAGCAAGAGACAACACTAAGCTTCTTGTGAACAAATTGGAAGGATATCAGTATGTACAGATTCTATACTCACTTGCATCTTTCCTCACATTAACTGTTTTCCAATGCACCTGAAAGTAACTGCCTGGCTAGGCTACTTCCTTGCAATATACCATTTTTTTTGTCCCTATCCAATCAATACATGATTATTTGGGGGACTGAATAACATGTTAAAAATGTAGTGTAAAATAAAAGTAAACTATTTCTATATTCTACTCCAAGTTAAGATTGTAGTTATGTAGACTGGATTATCAGTGAAGCTTACCTTGGAGTGTTGAGCCATTCTGGAGAAAAATATTCAAGTATGTCAGGTACTCTTTCACTTGGAAGGGACACAGCTTGTAGGGGTAATACAAGTTCACTTGATGAACTAGTTGTAGTTATTGGCTGCAAAGCAAAATTAATCATAACATTGTAATTTCTCAGTTGCATTTAACATGAAACAGCAAACTTAGGCATTTAGACTGAGGAGAGGTTGTCACTTCATTAGTTGCACCTGTTCTTAATGGAAAGTCAGTGTTCACAGTCTTCCAAAGTAAAACTTCAGAATTAATATTTAAATATAAAGGCAGTCCTGGTAAACACATTGTGGGGAGACTTTCCAGCCTCTATTTCTCCTTAAACTTATGGCTACTCCCAAATGCCACATTGGTGCTATGTTACACCCAGTCCCTTCGTTGTAGGCAACTGGTATTTCACCCAAATTGGGGCAATAAGATTCTCTTCCTTGGAAATTTAGAGTTAGAATTCAGAGACGGTTTTTCTGGTACTTGTTTAAAATGAGAACATTATAGAAAAGCCATTTCTGTCACATTCCCAGAAATGTAGAAAAAAGCCAATGTGCAGAGAATGTGAGGAATAAAACATCCACACATAGAAAAAGTAGAAACAAGAGATCATATACCTCTAGGGAAACAAAGAGGGAAATATTTTTTACCTGGGTCCTTGATGTCTTTTCAATTCCTGATTCTAGTCCCTCCTAAGTATTAACTTTCTGCCCTTGAGTTCTCTAAGGAATCATAGATCCTTGAAATAAATTCCCTCTACTCTTATATTTTTTGCTTAAGCAAACATGAGTGGGATTCTGTTTCTTTCAACCAAAGCAACCTTCATAAGACAGCAGAATTGCTGTCCATATTTTATTATTAACCTCGAGGTGGAACATACATAACAAGTGTGCCTTTTAGGTACAAGGAAGAATCTAAGCACAGGAGAAGAGAAAGTTGAAGAACGACCAAAATTAATTTTATCTATTGAAGCGATTTCTTCCATTTTCAATAAAATCTGAACAAAAAATAATAGACTAATACTGTAATGTATCAATTAGGTATAATATAAGGGAAAAGTACTCTGTGAGTTTTAATATACTTTAGAATTGATTGTAATAAAATGTTTGGAATCTCCTCTCTCAGCAGATAACGTGGAGGCTCAAATCAGATAATGTTTAGGAGAACACACTCATTTTGAAAACTGGTAAATAATTATAAAATGTAAATGATTAACAGATAATAAAGAGAAAGATAATGTTGATTTATATGACAAACAAACATAAGAAATATTGAAATTTCCACATGCTATGGGAGGTAGATAGCAAGCAACTTTCATGTGCTTCTAAACATTGATCTAAAAAGTGCAAACATTCAGAAATTCTTTGACTTCTATTCTCAAACCATAATAATGGCTACTCAATCAGGATTGCCCAGTCATTAGTTTTCATTATTTAAAAAGTCAAGACAAAAATAAACAGCAAGGGAAAATACAAGCAAATTCTATTCAACTAGACATAATATATGCTTAGGCAAATAATATCTGCCTTCACAAATGTGTAATGACCTTTCATGTGTTTGATTTTCTGGACGCCCAGCATCCTGAAGAACTACACAGATAATGTTTCTAATCTTTCCAAAAGTCCCTAAAGCAGCTATGCATTCTACTTCATGGGGAAAAAAATTTCACAGAAAATATAGTAAGTATGGAATTTAGGTTGGTTATTTGGATTAGCTTACTGCCTGAAGCTTTGGGGACTCCAACTTTATCAAAGCTTTAGGTCTGCCTTTTGGAACACTAAACCAAATGTCTTCCTTAGCAGGAATACTTTTGAAGATGATACAAAGTACCAGAAGGTTTAAGTGTTATTACTAGTAATACCACATTCCAGAAGTGACACTTTTGAAATAAACATGTTTTTGATAAAGATTAAACTTCAGTTAAAATCAAAAGAGAAGGAGGGATATTTATAAATTCATTACTTAGAACTCTGCAAAAACTAATCTCTCCTTAGGTATAAGACTACTTTTCTGAGAACTGTAATTCTGTTCAGTGCTGAAAAGTTCTTACTGAGAGAAAAAAATTGCTATGAATACCAAATTCAAATAGATATTTTAATAAATGTCTCCAACTAATAAATCTGTAAAAAGGTGTGCCCTGGGCCGAGCCCGTGGCGCACTCGGGAGAGTGCGGCACTGGGAGCGCAGCGGCGCTCCTGCCGTGGGTTCGGATCCTATATAGGGATGACCGGTGCGCTCACAGTGCTCACTGGCTGAGCGTGGTGCGGCCGGTCTCAAAAAGGACAAAAAAAAAAAAAAGGTGTGCCCTTTTCCTAGACAGTTGCTCTCAAGTTTTCTCTAAAGAACTGATTTACAGTTTTGCACTGTACATTAAACTGATTTGCAGTTACATCTGCAAAGCTCTGTCCAAAGGTTAATATACTTATTCTTCTTTATATCTGCTATTTTAACTCCATCTTATATAGAACTGTGAAAGTATCATTTTGGAGTGTGTGTGTGTGTGTGTATGAACATATGCATGTGTCTGTGTGTTTCATTCCATAGTCTTAAATTATTGTAGCCATTAAGATGAAGAAATTCATATGGTAGATCTGTCTGCAATTGTTTGAGGAACCTCCATACCATTTTCCATAGAGGCTGCACCATTTTGCAGTCCCACCAACAATGTATGAGAGTTCCTTTTTCTCTGCAACCTCGTCAGCATTTATCATTCACAGTCTTTTGGATATTAGCCATCCTAACTGGGGTGAGATGGTATCTCAGTGTGGTTTTGATTTGCATTTCCCGAATGCTGAGTGATGCTGAGCATTTTTTCATATGTCTGTTGGCCATTCATATATCTTCCTTTGAGAAATGCATATTTAGCTCTTTTGCCCATTTTTTAATTGGCATTCCTCAAGTCAAAGGTATACCTGTTCCCCAATGTTCATCGCAGCACTTTTTACAATAGCTAAGAGTTGGAACCAGCCCAAACGTCCATCATCAGAAGAGTGGATACAGAAAATGTGGTATATCTACACAATGGAATACTACTTAGCTATAAAAAATAATGAAATGCTGCCATTTTCAATGACATGGATGTACCTAGAGAGAATTATATTAAGTGAAACAAGTCAGGCACAGAAAGAGAAATATCACATGTTCTCACTTATTTGTGGGAGCTAAAAATAAATAAATAAATACACAAAAAATGGGGGGGGAGAAGACATAACAATTACAATTCCTTGAAGTTGATACGACAAGCAAACAGAAAGGACATCGTTGGGAGGGAGGGGGGAGAGGAAGGAGGGAGGGAGGTTTCAGTAATTGGCCACAATAATCAACCACATTATATGCTGACAAAATAAAATAAAATTTGGAAAAAAAAAGATGAAGAAATTCATTAAACAGAACATATCCTGATCTGGTGACATCAGGGCCATGGCTACATGCCTATAATATACAACTGCATCCTAACTATCCATTATTCTGAAAGAAATTGGGTTCATGGGGCATCTAGGCTTCAGAGTCTAACAGATGACATCAAGTGAACTCCTAGGTTCATGGGGAATGTGAAGCTAAAAAAGACTTCCATTAATCCCATATAATTACACCTTATTTTATAGAAAGTTTTTTCTTCATAACCATTTTTTAAGCAAAAAGTGTCATTATGTAACTAGTGTTAATCTGTAATGAAATTCCCTCAAAAGAAAATTACAGAATGTCATTTGCAAACTTTTAAGAATTTTAGAGCTTAAATAGGGAGCTGTACGGGAATATGGGAAAAAGAGCATGACAAGGAGCCCATTTATTTTATAGAGGAAGTCAAGCTCACTACTCATGGAACTTGACTCTTTAATAGTCCTCCTTTTTAGCACTGCTACTACCCCTATGAGGTAACCTTGGTGCCACCAAGGGCACTGCAGATTCTAGGGAGGCAGTTACAGCTGCTATTGCTGATACCACTGCTGCAGCTGCAAGGTAACCTCGCTGACACTTCAGACACCGGAATTGCACTGGCTGTTACTGTGGACACCACAGCCAAGTGGGCAGCTGCTGCGACTGCAACTCCTGCAGTCACCACCACCATTGGCACTGCCAGACAGCCACCATCATTGTGCAAATAGCCTGCCACAGCTGGAGTCATCCCTACCATATGGGCGGTCTGCCAAAGCCACCACCACAGCCATCACCACTGCAAGGGCAGACTGCTACCACAGCAGCGGCCACTGCCACTATGAAGGCAGACTGGTGACCACTCATCTGCACTGACTCAAAGAAGGTCACCAGTAGAGTCCAGGGAAGGAGATACTAGAAGAAGCAACTGCTCCAGCATATGACCAAACATCAATGAAGAGATACTAGAAATGTTAAAAAAAAAGAAAGAAAGAAAGGAAAATATGAGTCCACCTAAGGAATACAGTAACTCTCAAGTACCAGACACCATACCACAGGAAACCCTGGAGATGAATGAAAAGGAACTCTGAGTAAAAATCTTAAGGAAACTCAATGAGAAACGAGAAGACACAGTCAGATGACACAATGAACTAATAAGCAAAATTATCCAGGATATGAAGTAGATAATTAACAAAGGGGTTAATACTTTAAAAAAGAATGTAGCAGAACTCTGGAAGTGAAGGAATCATTCAATGAAATAAAAAAGACAAATGAGTGCTTAAGCAGCAGGCTTGAGCAAGCAGAAGAAAGAATTTCTGATCTTGAGGACAATCCCTTTGAAATAACACAGGCAAACAAAAAAAATAGAATTAAAAAAATGAAGAAAATCTAAGAGAACTAGCAAACGACCCTAAGCACACAAACATTTGAATCATGGGTGTTCCAGAAGGGGAGGAAAAGGAAAAAAGCATTGAGAACATGTTCAATGAAATAATAGTGGAAAAGTTCCCAGGTATAGGAAGAGACATGGACCTTCAGATTCAGGAGGTTCAAAGAACCTCGAACAGATTTAATCCCAAAACATCCTCTCCAAGGCACATTATAGTCAAATTGGCAAAACTCAAAGACAGAGAGAATCTTAAGAAAAGCATCAAATCACCTACAGGGAGTACCCATCAGACTAACAGCAGACTTCTCAGTAGAAACTCTACATCCAGAAGAGAACAGGATGATATATTCAAAATACTAAAAGAAAGAAAAAAAACCAGTCAGCCAGGAATACTATACAGAGCAAGGCTATCCTTCAGAAATGAAGGAAAAATAGTGTATTTCCCAGACAAACAAAAACTGTGGGAATTCGCCACCATATCACTAGCCCTACAAGAAATCATCAAGGGGAGTCCTGCATCTAGAATCTGAAAAATGATAATCACTACCATAAATAAACAATAAAGAACAAAACCCACTGGTAGAACAAAAAAGCAAGTGAGAAAAAGAAAAACTGTATTTTACCACCTCCAAAAACCAACAAACACTGAAGACAAACAATAAAAGGGCAAGAAAGAAAAGACTGTAAAACATCCAAATGAAAATCAATAAAATGCCAGGAGTAAGATAGTACCTTTCAGTAACAACCTTAAATGTAAATGGATTAAATTCCACACTCAAAAGACACAGACTGGCTGGTTAGGTTAAAATGCTAGAACCAACTATACGCTGTCTGCAAGAGACTCACCTCACCTTTAAAGACAAACACACACACTAAGAGTGAAGGGATGTAAAAAGATATACCACACAAATGGGAGTCAAAAACAACAGGAGTAGCTATTTTTATTTCAGATAAAATAGGCTTTTAAACAAAAACCACAAAAAAAGAAGGAGGCAACTATGTAATGATAAAGGGATATACCTAGCAAGAACACATAACTATTAGATATATATGTACACCCAACATCAGAGTACCCCAATATATAAAGCAAAAACTATTAGACCTAAAGAAATATATAGACTCAAATATGATAAGAGCTGGGGACCTGAACACCCCTCTCTCAACATGGGACAGATCATCTAGGCAAAAAATGAACAGAAAAACGTAAGACTTAAAGCACACTTCAGACCAATTGGACTTGGCAGATATCTATAGAACATTTCATCCAACAACTATAGAATATACATTCTTCTCATCAGCACATGGAACATTGTCCAGTATAGAGCAAATATTAGGTCACAAATCAAGTCTCAACAAATTAAAAAAAATCAAAATAAGTTCAAGTGTCTTTTCAGACCCCAATGGATTAAAACTAGAGATCAATAACAAGTAAAACTCTAGAAACTATACAAACATATGGAAACATAAACAACATGGTCCTGAATGATCAATGAGTCCAAGAAGAAATTAACAGGAAATCAAAAATTTTCTTAAAACTAATGAAAATAAAGACACATCATACCAAAATTTGTGGGATACTGAAAAAGCAGTACTAAGAGGGAAGTTTATTGCAATAAATGCTTACATCAAGAGAATAGAAAGAGTTCAAATAAACAGCCAAATGCTACACTCAATGAACTAGAAAAACAAGAACAATCCAAATCCAAAATTAGTAGACAGAAATAATAAAGATCAGAACAGTACTAAATGAAAGAAAGACCTCCCAAATGATACAAAAGATCAAAGAAACAAAAGGTTGGTTTTTTGAGAAGATAAAGATATAGATAATCCATTAGATATGCTAACTAAAAAAGGAAGATAGAAGACCTAAATTACAAAAATTAGAAATGAAAAAGGTGACATTACAAACAATACCATAGCAATACAAAGAATCATCAGAGACTATTATGAACAACTATACACCAACAAATTTGAAAGCCTGGAGGAAATGGATAAATTTCTGGACCCATACAAACTACCAAGACTGAACCAAGAAGAAACAGAAAATCTGAACAGACCAATAATGAGCAATGAGACTGAAGCAGTAATCAGCAGTCTCCCAACAAAGAAAAGCCCAGGATCGGATGGCTTCATTTCTGAATATTACCAAACCTTTAAAAAGAAATTCATACAAATTCTCTTGAAACTATTCCAAAAATTTGAAACAGATACTATTCTCCCAAACTCATTCTATGAGGTCCGCATCACCCTAATACCAAAACTAGACAAAGATACAACAAAAAAAAAGAAAACTACAAGCCAATATCTCTGAAGAACACAGATGCCATATCCTCAATTAAATATTAGCAAATAGAACATAGAAACACCTCAAAAAAATTGTACACCACAATCAAGTGAGATTCATCCCAGGGATGCAAGGATGGAGCAACATACACCAGTTAATAAATAAGATATACCACATCAACAAAATAAAGGACAAAAATCATATGACTATCTCAATAGATGCAGAAAAAGCAACTGACAAAATTAAGCATTGCTTCATAATAAAGACTGCCAGCAAATTAAGTATAGAAGGAAAGTATCTCAACACAGTAAAAGCCAAACATGAAAAACCCACTATCGAATATCAAACTGACTAGGAAAAAGCTGCTTTTACCTTAAGAATGGGAATAAGACAAGGAAGCTCAATCTCACCACTCCTATTTGACATAGTATTTGAAGTAGTAGTTAGAGTAATAAGGCATGAGAAATAAAGGGCATATAGATTGTAAAAAAATAAATCAAATTGTCCCTGCTTGTAGATGACATGATCGTATATATAGAAAAGCCTAAAAATTCTACAATAAAACCATTATAGTTTAAATACTATTTTAGTAAAGTTGCAGGATACAAAATCAATGTGCAAAAACCAGTAGTGCTTTTATACTATAATAACAAACTAGCAGAAAAGAAATAAAGCTAGCCCATTTACAATACTAACCAAAAAAAATAAAATACCTAGGAATAAATTTAACCAAGGTGGTAAAAGATCTCTACAATGAGAACTACAATCACTGATGAATGAAATTATAGAAGACACAAAATGATGGAAAGATATTCCATGCTCTTGCATTAGAAGAATTAGTATGTGAAAATGTCCATACTACCCAAAGTGACTGATAGATTCAATGCATTCTACATCAAAACACTGATGGCTTTCTTCACAGAAACAGAAAAAACAATCCTAACATTCATATGGAAAAACGAAAGACCAAAAATAGTCAGAGCAATCCTTAACAGAAAAATTAAAGCTGAGGCGTAAACCTACCTGACTTCAAATTATACTATATAGCTATGGTAACCAAAGGAGCATGGTGCTGGCATAAAAACAAACACTTGGACCAATGAAACAGAAGAGCAAACACAGAAATCAACCCACATACTTACAGCCAACTGATCTTTGACAAAGGGACCAAGAACATACATTGGGGAAAAGACTGCCTATTCAATAAATTGTGCTGGGAAAACTAGACAACCATATGCAGGAGAATGAAACTAGACTAGTACCTCTAGTTATATACCAAAATCAACTTAAAATGGATTAAAAACTTAAATATGAGACCTGAAACTATAAAACTCCTAAAAGAAAACATAGGGGAAACACTTCAAGGAGTAGGACTGGGGAAAGACTTTATGAATATGACCTCAAAACCACAGCAATGAAAGGAAATATAAACAAATAGGATTATATCAAACTAAAAACCTTCTGTACAGCAAAAGAAACAACAGAGCTAAAAGATGACCTACAGAGTGGGAGAAAATACTTGCAAACTATGCATCCAGCAAAGGATATTAATAAAATATACAAGGAACTCAAACAACTTAAGAGTAAAAAAATGAATAGCTCGATTAAAAAATGGGCAAAGGGCCACAGGTTGCAGCCCTATACACCCAGAAGCAGGCAAAAGAGCATGTCTGGTGTCCTAGGCAAGTAGCCCAGGGCTGCAGCCCCGTCCACTCAGAAGGAGGTAAAAGAGCATGCCCGGGGTCCTAGGCAAGGAGCCGAGGGCCACAACCCCCTCCACCCAAATGCAGGTGAGAGAGCATATCTGGGGTCCTAGGCAAAGGGATGAGGCATGCAGCCCCCTCCACCTGGAAGCAGGCCAGAGAGCATGCCTGGTATCCCAGGCAAAGAGCCAGAGTCACAGGCCCTTCTGCCCAGCAGTCAAGAGTGCACACTTGGGGTCCTAGGCAAGGAGCCGAGGGCCATACCCCCCCACCCCAAAGCAGGGAAAGACCATGCTGAAAACAACACTTCTGTGCAGGTGGCCCACTACAGCTACTTCTACAGCCATGGCTGCTAAAAAAGTGGCTTGACACCACAGCAGCCA